CGGTCAGGGCCGAGCCCCGCCCTCGCCCAGGCCCCGCCCCCAGCGATCCCGCCTCCGGGGCCAGCACGAGGGCCCCTCCCCCACCTCCCTCCTCAGCGGCAGGTGCGCTCCCCTCCCGACATTCCGCCCCATGAAGACCACTGCTGAGGTGTCAGGGCAGCAGCTGCCCCCTGACCACGGCCCCAAGGTCGACCAGAGGAATTCCAGGCAATTCCGCTCCTTTCTGAAAGGAAAACATCTGGCGGTACAGCCAAGGGAGGGGCTACCGGGCTGGCTTCAGCCCCAGCATCGAGCTGCGAGGGAAGAGGCCCTCCGACCTGGGCAGGGGAGGGCTGGGCCCTGGCCCCATCAGGACGGCACCTGCGAGCTTAGAGCATCCACCAGAATCTCCGGAGGCCACCTGCACGCCCTGAACCTGCTCTGTGGTCCCCACGTACTCTTCAAAATCCCAGGACGCCAGGGTCCACCCTTACCGAGGTTCAGGGATAAACAGTTCCTTCACAAGACCCACACGCTTTATTCTAGCTCAGAACTTTATTTCTGCAGATCCTTTTCGGAACACGTGTGGGATGTCGGGATGGGGCACCTGGGCTCTCCTGACACCAGCTTCTGAACAAGTACAAGCCACCGCATTGGAGGCTCACGGTCTTGGGACCATAGACAAGGGGCCGAGGCCGGAGCCGGCAGCTACCACGGGCCCAGCCCGTGTCCGTCGCACCTGCACGTTTAAACGCCATTTCCCATGATGTACCCGGAGGTACATTTCAATGGATGTTTTCTTGGAAGCTACTGGGTTAGAAAGCACTTGGCTGCCTGCTTGGAAGAATCACTTTTAAATGCGAACAGGCCCCAGAGTCCCTGACGACGAGGTGGGGACACACAGGGGACAGGGCGGCGGTCCTGCTGCAGGGCTGGGCATCAGAGCATCTTCGTCAAGCGCCCTGAATGATCGGCAGGAACCGCCTGACACATACCTTTGGGAAAAGGGCCTTTTCTCCTATAGACGGGATGAGAAGAAAACAATGCTGTCGTCGAAGATACAATAAATCTTTAATGAAAGCAACCTCTCCTCCACTGGGGGTCACAATTTATGCTTCCAAACCCCAGCCCAGGCCCAGGGCAGAGGAATAAATGGCCACCACGACGGGCAGAGCCGTCCCACGCAAGCCCACACCTCGGGTCCTTGTCTTAGCAACTCAGGGGAAATCTCGCAGTTGCCTTGGTAACCCAAGGGATTTCAGACATTAGCAAGGGTACACCAGGAGAAATCACTTGTTGGATTCTAAAAACACCTTCTGCTCGACAACTGCATTTAAAACATCAAACCCACAGGCTTAAGGAGCGTCCTCGTTCTTAACATGCTGATGGGCTCTCCGATCTAGAGCCTCCAGCCCCGCGGCCCGCCAGACGACTCGTGATGTAGCAGGTGTAGGACAGGACGGGAAGGCTCTGTGGCCCTGACCCACCCAGTCCCTTAAGTCAGTCCCTGTGGACGCTGCTCTCCAGGCTTTAGTCAGAGCTAAAGGGACGTTTAGTCGTCACGGAGAAAGCAGACAGCCGGCCGCTGGCAGGGAGACAGGTGGGCTTCTATCATCTCAGAAACTTAACCTCCTTCTGAGTTAGTTCAGTTACACTCAACGGTTCTGTGGGGGGCTTCCCATCAGGGACACTGGCAACGTCATGACCAGGGGTGGGCGGCTCCTGGCATGCAGTGGGCAGAGGCCAGGGCACTGCCGATGTCCTACAGCACGAAGGACGCCACCTCACACAGAATCATCCTGCCGAGGGGGCGACACTGGTGGAACCCGCTTGGACTGAACCTGCAGGAGGCTGGCCCAGCGCTTGGGGCTGGGGACGCACAGGGGCAATGAGAATGACAGCCAATAAGAAAGGCTACAGTGTCTCCTGGGGGTGATGAGCAAGTTCTGGAGATGGATAGTGGCTATGTATTTAATGCCAGTACACTTAAAAGTGGTTAAAGGGGTGAAGTTCATGATACGTATGTTTTACCACAATAATCAAGCTAGTGTATCAAGAGCCCCAAGGTCGCCCTCCCAACCGCAGCACAGGCCTAGCATTGGTGACACCTTTCAGGGCTTGTGCCCACGGTTCACTGCCTTCTGTCCACCTCTGTCCACCTCTGAGCCCCCACTGGTTTCTAACCTCCTTCCTGGAGGGGCCTCCCCAACGCGGTCACTTGCTGAGAAGCCTCCATCCTGCTCTGGACCAACCCCGTCCCACCAAAGCCCCTCCTCACTCCAAATGCAGCCCTCGTGGTCCCATCTGCCCCTCGGGAAAGCTCGGCGCGGCCGTAATTATCACATGCTCGGCGCCAGCTAGAGCACCTGGCATCTAGGAAACATTTCGCTTGTTTACTAGCCTGGGAGACAGATAAAACCATCCTCCAGAGGGTGAGGGCCAGCGTCAACAAAGCTAAGCTAAGAGACCTCAGGCTGACGGACTCGGGGCCCAGAAGGGGCTCCCCACCTGTGCGGTAACGCCCACCGGCTGCTCTGTGGGCGGAACCACAGAACCCGCCCTTGTTGGCAACGAGGAAATACCCCTCATCGGGAGGGGAGCTCGTGGCCACGAGCCCTCACGTGCCCAGGACGAAACACACACACGTGGTGTCTCTTCCACGTTGACAACGATGGCCACGGCCGGAGCCCACACACCTGGCCTGGCCTCTTCCCTTCCACCCGAGTCACGTCACTTTGCTCACTTCTTTTTAACACTGTCATGTTTAAATCTTTAAAAATTAAGTTACGCCACCCAGTGCCTACGAGAGGCTCCACCACACCCCACGCTGGGGCTCCTTCCGGGTGTCACCCCGCCTTTCCAGCTCCAGAAAATCCCCAGCCCAGCAGCCTCGGTGTGTCGGCGGCCCTGGCGCACCCGCTGGGACGCGTCGGCCACCTTCCCCGTGCTCACACCGATTTACTACGAAACGGGGTGACCCGCGGGAGGCCACCAGCGTGAGCCTGGAAAGGTGCCACTGCATGGACAAAACGAGCGGCCCCGGGGCCACCGACAAACAGTGCCTTTGGGCTGCCCGTGACCCCAGGGCGCCTGAGCCCGGCCTGTAACAAACCAAAGGCTTACTTGAGTCTCGGCTGCTGAAGGGCCACCCGGACGTCGGGAGGAAAGATGGCAGCGGGGAGCCGGCCCGGCTGTCGTCCTCCACCTGCTGCGTGATGTGCCGGACCGTGTCTTTGTTTTTGCGATTCTTTCTCCGGCCCGTGGGCTGCCAGCCGTCCCCTGCCGCCTGCTCTGAGAAGGAGTTCTGAGCGGCCCCATCCCCAGCGGACGGCGGCTCGCTGCCCCCGTAGTGAGCCGGTGAGAGCCGCTCCTCCTTGATGTGCAGAGGCCCGTAGCCCGCGTCGCCAGGCCACAGCGGCTGGGAGGACAGGTCCGCGGGGCCGTCGGCCTTGGGCTCCTGGTCCTCCTTCCCGCAGCTGCTCCCGCCCTCGTGGCAGCTGGCGATGGCCGAGTCCCCAGAAGAGTTGGCGGGGCGCTGAGAAGCCTCCATCCTGCTCTGGACCAACCCCGTCCCACCAAAGCCCCTCCTCACTCCAAATGCAGCCCTCGTGGTCCCATCTGCCCCTCGGGAAAGCTCGGCGCGGCCGTAATTATCACATGCTCGGCGCCAGCTAGAGCACCTGGCATCTAGGAAACATTTCGCTTGTTTACTAGCCTGGGAGACAGATAAAACCATCCTCCAGAGGGTGAGGGCCAGCGTCAACAAAGCTAAGCTAAGAGACCTCAGGCTGACGGACTCGGGGCCCAGAAGGGGCTCCCCACCTGTGCGGTAACGCCCACCGGCTGCTCTGTGGGCGGAACCACAGAACCCGCCCTTGTTGGCAACGAGGAAATACCCCTCATCGGGAGGGGAGCTCGTGGCCACGAGCCCTCACGTGCCCAGGACGAAACACACACACGTGGTGTCTCTTCCACGTTGACAACGATGGCCACGGCCGGAGCCCACACACCTGGCCTGGCCTCTTCCCTTCCACCCGAGTCACGTCACTTTGCTCACTTCTTTTTAACACTGTCATGTTTAAATCTTTAAAAATTAAGTTACGCCACCCAGTGCCTACGAGAGGCTCCACCACACCCCACGCTGGGGCTCCTTCCGGGTGTCACCCCGCCTTTCCAGCTCCAGAAAATCCCCAGCCCAGCAGCCTCGGTGTGTCGGCGGCCCTGGCGCACCCGCTGGGACGCGTCGGCCACCTTCCCCGTGCTCACACCGATTTACTACGAAACGGGGTGACCCGCGGGAGGCCACCAGCGTGAGCCTGGAAAGGTGCCACTGCATGGACAAAACGAGCGGCCCCGGGGCCACCGACAAACAGTGCCTTTGGGCTGCCCGTGACCCCAGGGCGCCTGAGCCCGGCCTGTAACAAACCAAAGGCTTACTTGAGTCTCGGCTGCTGAAGGGCCACCCGGACGTCGGGAGGAAAGATGGCAGCGGGGAGCCGGCCCGGCTGTCGTCCTCCACCTGCTGCGTGATGTGCCGGACCGTGTCTTTGTTTTTGCGATTCTTTCTCCGGCCCGTGGGCTGCCAGCCGTCCCCTGCCGCCTGCTCTGAGAAGGAGTTCTGAGCGGCCCCATCCCCAGCGGACGGCGGCTCGCTGCCCCCGTAGTGAGCCGGTGAGAGCCGCTCCTCCTTGATGTGCAGAGGCCCGTAGCCCGCGTCGCCAGGCCACAGCGGCTGGGAGGACAGGTCCGCGGGGCCGTCGGCCTTGGGCTCCTGGTCCTCCTTCCCGCAGCTGCTCCCGCCCTCGTGGCAGCTGGCGATGGCCGAGTCCCCAGAAGAGTTGGCGGGGCTCGTGCGGCGGGCCAGCCACGGGGAGATGCTCCTCCCGGCCATGACGGCGGAGATGAGGGCGTCCGCGCCACTGCTGGGTGGGGCGCCCACCTCGAACTCCGAGAGCTCGTCCGAGGCGTCCGGCTTGATGCTGATGTCCAGCGCGGCCTTGATGAAGTCGTGGCAGGCCTGCACGATGTCCGTCATCTGCAGGAAGCTGGCCGCGGACATCACCTCGATGACGTTCCTGCTGGTGAGGGCCAGGTGGGCGGAGTACATGAAGTCGATGATGGCCTTGAAGCCCTGGGCTGTGACGATGTCCAGGTGCGTGACCGTGGCCTGGTCAGATGCCTTCTGCACCTGGCAGTAGAGCGTCTTAAAGTAGCGGCTGCTGCCGAGCAGGACGTTCTTGTGGGCCTTGAAGACCTTGCCCTCGACCACCACGCACACGTCGCACAGGACGCCGTGCTGCCTCTGCTCGTTGAGCTCGTGGAGCAGATGCCGGTAGTGGGACGCGATTTCCATATCTTCCCGCCGGTTGTTCATCTGGGATCCTGGGGTGGTCTCTTCTATGGACTCTGTGGGGCAAGAACGGAAGGGTTACCCGCACGGTCGACACACACACCGAGGGAGTTAGGAGGGTACACGGAGGGCGGCCACTGGGCACAGGGCACTCGACGGTGGGCACCTGAACCGGCGTCCTGTTTGAGGCTCACCTGTCGTCGGGCACGTGGCGCCCTGAACAGAATCCTACGCGCTGCAGCCAACCCTCCGAGCAAACAAATATTCCGGAAAGGAGAACACACATCCATAGGCGAAGCGCTTCTCACCCAAACAGAACATCCAGGCCAAGTAACCCCGGGGCGCCTCCACCCCTCACCCTTGAAGAAGCACCCTTTAGAAACAAAGCGACGGGGCTTCCCCGGTGGCGCGGCGGTTGGGAGTCCGCCTGCCGATGCGGGGGACGCGGGTTCGTGCCCCGGTCCGGGAGGATCCCATGCGCCGCGGGGCGGCTGGGCCCGTGAGCCACGGCCGCTGGGCCCGCGCGTCCGGAGCCTGTGCTCTGCAACGGGAGAGGCCACAGCAGTGAGAGGCCCGCGGACCGCAAAAACAAAACAAAACAAAACAAAGCGACAACAACATCCTACACAAACAAAACCCCTAGAATAGTAAGGACTGAAGTTGGACATCCACAAACTCCCAAACTCCAGCCCAAGCCAGCTCCAGAGGGCGAAGGCCCTGTGACCAGCTCAGCCCCCAGGAAGGCATCTTTGGGGGAGGGACCCAAGGTGATGAGAACCCCCTTCGCGGTCCCCAGCGCCCGAATGATTTCTCGAGTTGGGCCCCACGCGCTGCTCTCCCCAGACTCGTTCCCCAGCTCTTTGCTGCTCCCAGAGTTTCCCGGGGCCACCGGACTGGGCAGACAAAACAAAAGAACTTCAGTGCCGCCCGACTGGAGGCCAGAGCCCGACCGAGGCCGAGGTGCAGGCAGGACTCCCTCCGAAGGCCCCGCTGGGGGATGCATCCTGGCCTCCGTCAGCTTCTGCGGTGACTGGTAGCCCTCAGCGTCCTTGGCTCGTGGCAGCATCACCCACCTCTGCCTCTGCCGTCTCCCCGTGTGCGTGTCTGTCCCAGTGTCCCCTCCAACAAGGACACAGTCATATCGGATTAGGCCCATCCTGCTACCTCGGTACAAATCACATCCAAACCAGGTCAGGTTCTGAGGCGCTGGGGGCTAGGACTTCACCGTATGAAATCTGGGGCCAGGCTCACAGCATAAGACGCCCCGCAGAAGACAGGTCTTCCCTGATAAACACACCATTTTCCAGCTGGTCAAAGGTGCGGTCGTCCGTCCACCTTTCCCCGGGGTGG